TCGCTCATGATGCTTCTCTCGCTGCCCGTCGTTATGCCAAAGTTTCGTCAACGCGATGAAAGTTTAGATTATGGGTGTCCCTGCGGCGAAACTGAAAATGAGCACTTTTGGCCGTACACTTGTCGACCATGTTTATGTCCACGGCGGCCATGCTGAGAATCAGCTCTTCTGGCCAAACACTCGCCGGCCGTGTTTATGTTTCCGGCGGCCAAGCTGAAAATCAGCAGTGCTGGCCAAACACTTGCCGGCCGTGTTTATGTCTCCGGCGGCCAAGCTGAATATCAGCACTGCTGGCCAAACACTCGCCGGCCGTGTTTATGTCTCCGGCGGCCAAGCTGAAAATCAGCACTTGTGGCCAAACACTTGCCGGGCGTGTTTATGTCCCCGGCGACCAAGCTGAAAATCACCACTGCTGGCCAAACACTTGCCGGCCGTGTTTATGTCTCCGGCGGCCAAGCTGAAAATGAGCACTTCTAGCCAGGTGCTTGCCGGCAGTGTTTATGTCTCCTGCGGACAAGCTAAAAACAGCTAGTTTGTGGCCGGACCCTTGCCGGCCTTGTTTATGTCTCCGTTGGCATGGCACTTAAAGTGGCCAAGCTGTCCAGACACTGGCCAACCGTCGGCCGATCGAAATTCACTTTCTGGTGCTGCTTGGGCGTGACACACATTCGCTGGAAAAAGGGGAAACAAATATTTGGTGAGCAAGCTGCACCGCCCACTTAATAAGCACTTTTTGTTTTTGGTTTGGCAACCGCCTCTGCTAAGACACTATTAACAGTTAAACCTGTCTCGTTCTTACTAGCCACTGAAGAGTGCAACCGAACGTTGTCCAAATTCCGGTTAAGAAATCAAACATGTCAACACAAGCGTATTCTGCAAAACAATTTTAAAAACCCTTTGTGGTACTCCTCTGGGCAAAGGCTAAGACCACCCAGACCTCAAAGTGTGCTATAAAAGGCGGCACACACTTCTCGAACATGTGTCACACTCTCTATTATGGGAAGAAAATGATTTTCTAGTTGCTGAATGAAATGAAAAGCAGCCTGTGATGGTGCTACTAAGTTCCCGGAGAATTTTCCAGTCACGTGGTATGCTTTAGGAACAAGACAGTACTGGTGAGGCCTGGTCAAGTTATTAGACTCATCCGATAGCAGCTGAGAACAGCCACAGCTCTAAGTTGTCTGTTCAAGCAAAAGCTTGATCAAATAGCCCCAAACGCAATAAAAAAAGTGGACGAGTTGTCAATTATGTTAGACCGGATGTCTGATGCCAGCTCAGAAATATCCTCTAGTGGCGGGAAGTTATTTTTTGGAAGGCATTCCACAATGTCTGAAATTAAACTTTCATGGTGCGAAGATATTAGCAACTCCTTTAGGAGGTCAGCTGTGTCATCCTCTACGTTTTCATTGTCCGACAGTTTGAACAGTTTCTTTATCCAGAGGTGTTTTAGTCCTGAGGTGAACTGATGCACATTTGGGTATGTGTTGCAGCCCAGCATTTGTCGTATATAGCTCCAAAACCGTTCTCAAGTGTGTCTTGCTGCAGGCGTCGTGTAAGTAAGAACTTAAAGTCAATGGCTGCTTGAAAGCTCATCCCAGAGCATGAGGATACTTTTTATAGTAACTTGCCACCCAATGATGGCTTATGGCTGCCTCCTATTTTGGAACTGCCATGCTAAAATCCATCCGAGTTACTGGTGGAGAAAGTCAAGTATTTCAGATTCTCCCTTTAGAATGGCATGACGCAACTTCTGCCCTGTCTTCTTGAATTTTTTAGCTATTTAGACAATCAAAAAGTATACATATTCTATCACAGAAATAGGCTGTAGCCATGGCCGCCTCAGGAAGTTCCTTGGCATAAACAAGGGATATGATTGCAAGAAAGAGTGAGGCACTCAGTACCTGTGGGGCACAATTTTCTTCCATATTTTGGAAAGGTTCTTGAAAAAATATGTCTCTCAGTAAGCTTCGGAGTCAATTGCAAGCTCATCTCATGGATAGAACAATAAAGTTCAACAATAGAAGAGCACTCAATGACCTCATTTCCAATGCAAAGTTTGTGGGCTTGGAGATTGCTCTTGGTTGTTTTGGGAAGGTGCGGAACATCAAGGACAAAGTAAACGTGTTCGTTGTCAACTTCAAAAAATGGCTTATCCCCACACACACCAAGCTTACGTTTGAAGCACCCTAACCACAGACCACAGCCTTACTGTGAAGCCACCAGTCTTAAAGAAGCGATGCACTGATATTTGTATTTGGCGCAAATACTGCTTAGAACGAATCCCTGACGTTAATGATCAGTGAAATACCCGTTCGTTTTCATCACACGCAATCGAAGTCGCAGAAAAAAAATAAAGAAAAACGAGCAGAGTTCACCCCCTCAACTCGCAGCCAGAACAAGCGGCCCCGTTTTCTGGAGCCGATTATTTGCCGCCAATGTTGATCATAGCCATGAGCTGGGGTTGACTAAAGTGTTGGTAAGGCACAGGACACGCGCTGAGTTCTAGACATTGTTATGGTTCGGCTGTTGTCATCATTGCAGCGATTGGACAAAGGACACTACCCGAATGTTTCTCGAGCTATCAATTATCACGATTCCAAATCGAGTGTGCACGCCAAGCTCGGGTCCAATCTATGAGCCGTATTCAAATATCGTCACTGGGCCTGCTACCGCCCAGCTACGTCATCAGGTTTTTCGAAGGAGAGATTGAATGAAAACACTCGGTTTTGTCCTCAAAATTACAGCGCAACAAAGGAGTTTCTTGGTCAGCGGCGCTGCTTGTGAGTATTCTTGAGTCCCACTAGTGCCAGTAAGCTCGTGTGAAGTGAAAAACATTCCAATTGAATATCGTTGCACCGCCCCTTTAAGCTCCCGAATGAGAGAAATGAGGAGACTGTTGAGTGTGCACAACAGTGTATGCAAGGGGCTAAACGCACCTCCTGGAAATTTCAGACAGCATAACAACCAAGGCTCTATCTGCAATTTTAGAGGTTCGTTCAACGCCGTCATCTGTAAAACCATGGACAATGTCGTGTGCAGGGTCGTAAGTTAAATTCTTTTTTTTAAAACAATCTCACCGAAAATCAACATGCACAGACGTTCAAGTGCAGCCAGACAGCCCGGCAGAAACAACAGCGCGAGAAGCTCGAACCGATAGGCTCCACGAATTCACGACGAGCATGCGAGCACGCGGGCGGTCATGCGTAACCTTGATTGATGCAAAGTCGACCGAACATGATGCAGCAGAAAGCACAGATAGACGGCACGCGCGGCACAGACGAACGACGCAGGGACGAGCAGAGGCCATGCAGAATGATGCAAAGGCGACGGCGTGCAGGCAGACAGGCCATGACAGGCGCCATTCATCACGTGGTTTTTGTGACGTATTTGATTTGAACTATTTAGTCGTTTTAAGTACTTTAAACCATTTTAAAGCATTGCCATTTAAAAAAATAAATACTTTTCACAGAAGGAGTTTTATTTAATTTTAACCAAATTGCAGAAATGCGCCACGTAGCGGAGGGTATTAAACACACTATCTGGGCCGCGAATCGGCTCCTGTGTCCTCTCTTTACGTTTACTATGTTACTCTATGGACATAGCCTTACGAGTAGTGTTGTAGGGATTGTAGCGTCCCGCCTACAGCTCCTACATCGTTTTCTGAAATCCAAATTTCGGTTCACCATCCATTTAAAGGGAAGCTCAGTGTGGCAGTGATGGGATGATTTATTGTGTCAGCCGCAGTTGCCTACCATTACCACCGTAGGGCAGCGAAGGCTACAGGTACGCGAGAGCGACTTTGCGAAGTGCTTTCGCAGAACAAGAGCTGGCGATAGGGCGTGTACTAGCTCGCACTTGTCGATTTTGAGCGCGCTGTCACCCTGGCAAGCCTACGGCAACACCTTCAGAATGCACGCATTCTTCAAGAAAGCCACAATGGTACGAATATACCAAAACCATGCCTGGCGTTTATTTTTTTGTTTAGGAAGAGCATTGCTGAAATTTTGAAAATGCGATATACTCTGAGGAAAGCAACAGGCTGTTACAACACAACAACAGCAGTGCACGCTCATTACCTTCGGTACTGCTTAGTATGTGCTCGCGGACGCTCACTTTATCGAGGCTGAAAAGCTTGTGCTGGGACGGGCCTAACAGAACATAGGCGTCCATCAAATCTTAAAATCTGGATCTCATTTTTTTTTCTGTTGACCCTCTATACGTTTATTCTGACAAATGTTACAAAAAACCTAACTGCCCACTTCTGAAATTTCGAAAGAGCACAAAATGTTAGTCTAAATTCAAGCATGGGGTGGGGACATTTATATAAAGGCAGTAACGCAAAAAGAAATGTAAAGTCAACAGTTCGTTATTTGCTATATCTTTGTTTTCCAGATGTGTCGCACAATTTTATATCTGGCTTTTCCCTCTAAAAAAAGGAAGCCTTAAATTTAAACTAATTTTAAAACAAGTTTTAAATTAATAGCTATACAAAACATTTTATATATAGCACTCTATTGCCCTATGGAAAAAGAGCGGGCTATGAAAACAAAAATGAACCAGAGCATCTAACTCACAAGGGAATATTGAACACTGGTGGTGTCTTCTGATTGAAGTAACTTGCAAAGTGTGAACAGGAGCGATAAGGAAACACAACATTTAATGCCGTTCATCTCCACTTTTATTAAAGTATCTCAACATAAAATTATTTTGACATTTCGTAGTAAGAGTGCTGAATTCCAGACATGATCACACAAACCGTTTTGATAAAAACGTAAAGAAATGTAGCTACTCCATACAGGTGCCTAATAGTTTGATGACTAGAAAACAACACATACGACTAGAAAAATGTGAGGAATATAAATGTATAAAGCTGGTCATGGATTGAAGCATACTTAGATATGTGAGCCACACAACTTGCAGATGCCATCTGAAGAAAAACAAACAAAGCATTTAGTTATTTCTACAATTGAAACAATCCTGGCAGGAGCTTCACCGGATTTCGGCGATCACACTATGTGATCAGCAATCAGGCTACAGGTGTTTTCTTCATTGTATTAATCACCTCGATTGCAACTGACCGTAGCTGTGATTAGGTTAGAACAAGACAAAGCCTCTCAAGAAGGCAGCTCGTATTTTATGTCTTCTGGCCATGGGCGATGCAGAAAAACCAGTACGCCGCCATGACCGCAGTCAAGCCATCCTCCGCGTCTTGCACTTCGAAAAGCCAAACTGTATCAACGTGTGTGCCCATGCCCTTCGCTGCCTCCAGATCGTACCCTGAGAAGGCAACGCAAGGTGTCGTCGGGATGGTCTCCTCCTGTATAGAAAAGCAGAATTGATTCATTCGGAGAACAATAAAGGCCGCACTGATGAGTATGATTTTAATCTTGAAGTGCTTTTAGCTCCCGGCCACCAAACCGATGACGTATCTTTTCGGCAACTAACGCGAAATATCCCTTCGAAACAGCCCAGGTTTCGAGGTTGACTTTGGCGTTGGTTTTCTTATTTGAAACCGACTTTGAAACCTACACGGTCTCGAAGCCGGTTTTGGAGCAGAAAGGTGTGCACTAGCAGGGTTCAAACTTTGCTGTCAAAATTTTGTTTCCTAGAGGCAAGGAAACAAAAAGGGACATACACTCCACCATTTCAAAACCAGTACAGCACACAGCTGTCATTCACTTCCAGAAGTCTTCTTCTTTGCCATTCTATACGCTACACACGCTATGAAAACTATTCCTACACACGCTATCAAACCTACATTATAGATGCTATGAAACCTATTATTTCCGGACTGCAACTTTAAAAAATTTTCCAACATTCAAATTACTTTTTAGAGCGCAGCTCTTAGGCGCCCGTTTCCAGCATGAGCGGCGTCGCCGTCGGCGTAACCGCGGTGACGTTTCGGCACCATGCCGAAACATCCACGTGACCCCCCTCGGGGAGTCACGTGACCCCCCTGAGGGGGTCCTGAGCGGGGTCACGTTACCTCAAGGGGGGTCACGTGGCCTCCTTGAATGTAGTCCTGAGGGGGTCGCGTGACCTTAAGAGGGTCACGTGACTTCCCCGAGGTCACGTGACCCCCGTGAGGTCATGAGGGTCACGCGACGTCACTAGGGTCACGTGACCTCATGGTTACGCCGACGGCAACGGAGACGCCAACGCCACTCGGAGGGAAGAGTAGCAGGCAGGATGAGGAGGTCTGGAGGAGGGAAAAGGGGTATGCCCACCCTTCAGTACCCTTCCCTCCTCCTCCTCAAGATCTCCGCTCTAATTCGGCGTTACATGGAGTTGTAAACGGCTTCCATTTTTTTATAACATCTCACCACCGAATTGGAAACCAAGAGCGCATCATTCGTTTCAACCGTTCGAGCAATCGCTTGACGAGAAGCCCGTTGTTGTCACGCTTCGACGGCGCACTTTAATTCACCTTTCTGCCGCCTTTTTTTTTTTTTGGGGGGGGGGGGGGGGGGGGGGTGGGGGGACGGGGGGGTGTTCAGTCATCGTTCGCGGCGCGACTATTACCACAACTGTTTAATTAATTCCTGCGGCACCCAAACTTCTGTTCGGCATGGAACTTGGTCAACAGTGTCTTAGACGTGCCCGACGCCTATTTCAGTCGTCAAATAATATTTCGAAATTGCCTTCATGGTATTTTCAAGAGTTTCAATGAAGGCGCCTGGAATTCGCAAAATTTAGTGATCGCGATTACGTCCTCTGTGACCGATTTGCAAAAATAAACGGTTTTACAGTAATGATTCAGATTGTGATTTATTGGGAATTAACCAGTGCTGTTATAACATGCTCTGTGTTGTACGCTCCGCTGGTGTTTTTTCTGCCGTCATTGCATCTACGCAGCTTTAAAGTGCCCTGCTTTATGCGACTTGTGACATGCACACACCGTGGCTCTCCACTTCATGGCGTGGCGTGCGGTGGTGGAAAAAGCCTCTGCCAAAATCATGCTTCGCTACTCCCTGCATAGCATTTGTGGCGGCAGAAAAGATACAAGGCTATTTTCTTGTTCCTGAGAGTATAGTATGTTGCAGGTTAAGAGGGCACGGTGAAGGAAAGAAGCTCCACCTACACTCTTTCCACTTTAGCAGAAATGAATGCTATAAAGAAAAGAAGGAAGCCGCCAATCGTGGGAAACGAAACCTTTTTGGACCGGCGGAAGGGGTGGGGAATCCCAGGCAGCGTAAAAAAAGGGAAGAGGGGGGTGGGGGGGGGGGCAAAAGTGTTTACCAAGAATAAAAGGGGGGGAAATTGAAAAGAGGTATTCTCCAGCAGATTCCTTTTGCTCCCGGAGCTGTGAATATGTCATGTCCGGACTAAGCTCTACTCAGTGCCCCAAATAAAAAAAATAAAAAAAGAATTGCCCGTCAGAGTTGTGCGGACTCCTAAAATACCTTTACGGACAGGTTCCGCAGACCCGCATTCCAGAACCGCTGGCCTAGATTGCGGGCATGGGCATCTGCCTTACGTTTTGCAGGAAAATGGAAAAAAAAAAGGGGGGGGGGGCAAACCTTATTTGTTTCAAGGTTATAGGGCTGAAAGCTACGCACCCCAGAATGATCCCCCCGCCCCCCCCCCCCCCCCCCCCCCTTCGCGCCACTCTGCTGACGTCCATGACTGTGGGAACCTCATCACTGACAAAGTGTTTCCTAGGACTTTCGTGCAGAAGGTACGAGCTACCATTCAAGCACCTTTCATGACTACAGCGCAGACATATCACAATGGCAAGGAAGAACAATAAATAACAATGGCTTGTCTGGCCAGAAACAATGGTACAGTATCAGACTCACTGCTCAGGTTGCCAGCTGAGTCAGGCTAGAAAAAGAGATCTGCGAAGTGATTGAGTTGAGAGTATAGAAATGCAACAACAAAACCCTACTGGAGTTCCTAGAAAATGTTGGGGGCTTGTTGTTAATGAAAAAAGCACTCAGCCATTAAATCCAATACTTGGAGCTTACGCTTCATGAGCTTGCAGTTGGCACCTTCCACTGATATCCCGGTGATGTGCACCAGCAGCTCCTTGTTGCATCTCAAAAGCTTCCTGGTGGCAAGACTAATGATGGATGCCACTCCTTCAGAACTTGCCTTCATTGGCTCGATCTTTGTCTGATGCTTTTAGTCTTTTCGGAACTGAAAGTAGAGCACGCATACATACTTGCATGAATGTCACAGAAGGGCTACCTGACATGATCAAATTTCCAAGAACACTTCTAAATGCAGCGCACAATAAATAATTTCAAAAATTAGCTTAATCTTTTTATTTTAAATATATATATATATATATATATATATATATATATATATATATATATATATATATATATTAGCAATTACATAGGCACTCTCACAGACACAGAGAACTAGCGCCAAAAGAGAAAGAAACACTCTTTCTTGGGGCCTAATTTTGGTCATCGTTGAGATCGCGAAAAAATCTCACTAGGTCCACACTGTGATTTGACACGATGCCACAGACGGGCGCTCTCGACCAATGAGAATTCTTCTCGCTTTCGACGGGGCAATTTTTCGGTTAGAATCTGTCACCTTCTTTCGGATAGTGAGATTGATACCGCGGCAAGGTGGGTGCTTGTCCCAAGCTCTCGTTTTAGCACCAGTGGGTGTCACGTTACACACGGCCAGAAAACAAATCAGCATAGCCAAGCGAAGCACAGGACGACAATTGCGTCTGTAAAATAGCTGATGTTCCATATTTCAATTAGTTTTCGATCTCATTTTGCGCGGCAAAGAATTCGTAGCAGACGATTGTCCCTTTTTGGCTCTGCTCGCAAATGACTTGCCAGTCTGTTCCTCGTTTTGTTTCTGCCCTAGAATGATACCTAGTATCAAACAAACTTATTATTATTCCCTCATGTTAGCAGGCTATACGTTTGCTAGCGGTATTCTAGCTTTCTCACTGCAAGGCAGCTGAGATCTCGATGATCAAAATTGGGCTCCCGGTGAGATGAAATGGCAAACTGAGAATGATTTCATGGCCAGGGGCCAAACAAATACTGGGTGCATTGTATGGTGAGAGTATTATCACCGACAAGTTTTGGTGGCTGCCCCTTATGGCGAGCCGGGGTGACGTCACGCTGAGGACAAAATGTTTTCCCTCACTCACCATGCTCGCGTTGCGGAGGCTGAGACGGCGTTAGCAGTCGGCATACTTGTTTCTGTTTTCTTTTTTTTTTTTTTTGCGCGTTTTTCGTAGGAAATGTGAATTATTATATGCGGCCTTATTGAGGTATGGTCTCTAGCTGCAGGCGAAACCTCAACCAACATTCCGAGCATGGTTTCTATGGCAGACAGCGTATGAATCACAGCTGGTATATGAAAAGGAAGAAATATCACTGCACTTGCAGGAACATCGCAATATATTTATATCTCACACAATCAACGCTGCTGATGATTTGAATAAATTAAGAAGTTTTTTCATCGTTGATTTTAGACAAAAACGTCTCAGCAGAAAAGCTGCACTCTATTCAAGCAACATGTTAAATATATTCTGGGCCATGGAGAGAATCACAAGTGAGACCGCCCAAAGACCTTTGACTTAAGTGCTATTTGTAAGCCTGCAAAGCGAGTTGTGATGTTCTAACACATGAACATGCAAAGGAGAGAATTTCAGTGTCTGAAACACTTACATCGCTGCTTCCACAACCCCTTGCACAATCGCCTTATATCGCGTGGAGGGGGCGGGGAGGTCCATGGACAGAATTGCCTCCACCGATAGCTTTCGATACTTATAACCTAAGTATAAAGCTAAACGTGACAAACACGTTTAGAAAAGGCACGAAAATCCCTTCGGTATAAGTCTGACCCAGTGTCTTGTACAGTGGGTGAAGGAAGCCCCGCTTCTCAACGTGCTTACAGGACACAACTGCCGATGTTGGCGGTGCCTTTCTTATCCTTAGTCTGACTGTCCATGCTCTATTTAATCCCGACGTCTTCGGGTGGTAAAATATGATACCGGCTTCTTCTTGGGAATTGCATTGCAGCACTGAACAGTAGGTCAGCGTGATCACAAACATACGATCATGAGGAAATGGGAGCAGGGAAGCGAGTCGGGTGCCAGAACGGGAAGTGGGGTCCTTCGCCAGGCGTCACGGTACGGTACGAACCCCCATGCAGCTTGAGTATCTACTAGTATTGGTAAAAGCGAGTGAGTTGAAAATGAATACTTAAAATCGAAAGAATAAAATGCGAAGGACAAGCACTGGACAACCACGTTTCGGTACAGGCTCACAGTAAAGCTGTGAACCCGTACCGGTTCGCACGTCCAGCCTTTGCTTGAGTACATCTCACGATGAGGCGGAATGTATCGTAATAGAACCAATGTGGTCTCACCATTTTGAGCAGAAGTGCGTGAGTAACCGACGCTATTTTCGTGGTCGCTTGCACGTAAATAACCAAGGAGCTTGTACACAACGCAGGCAATCATCTGGCTTGAAAACAACTTGAGCGTTGGCTTGGTTTGGATGTCAGCTGCCCAGTGTGCTTGAACTTCACAAAATCGGCCAAATTGAGCGGACTGCCTCTCGACTTCTGCTGTTGGAGCGCATGTTTGCAATTTGGTGGTTTCCGAGTTTGACGACTTCGAAATCATGGGTGTACCACCGCAACACCCTCTTAAGAAGATGTCGGTAGTCGCAGGGAGTAAAAAGGATGTACGAAGGGTGTTGAGAAATAAAGGACGAGGAAGAGGGCGCAGACTATTGGGGAGTACGCGGGGCTTGGGCACCCGCAATGTTAGTGTTTCATAAACGGCCACCGTTCGAGCCCCACCCCTGCCCGTTTCGATCTGGATGAGCATCGTACCGGCGTGCGGTCGCGTATCACTACTGCGTGGTGCACGTTAAAGACCCCAGGCTACCCAAGCAGCACCAGAAAGTGAATTTCGATCAGCCGACGGTTGGCCAGTGTCTGGACAGCTTGGCCACTTTAAGTGCTTGGCCACCGGAGACATAAACAAGGCCGGCAAGGGTCCGGCCACAAACTAGCTGTTTTTAGGTTGTCCGCCGGAGACAAACACTGCCGGCAAGCGCCTGGCCAGAAGTGCTCATTTTCAGCTTGGACGCCGGAGACATAAACACGGCCGGCAAGTGTTCGGCCAGCAGTGGTGATTTTGAGCTTGGCCGCCGGGGACATAAACGCGCCCGGCAAGTGTTTGGCCACAAGTGCTGATTTTCAGCTTGGCCGCCGGAGACATAAACACGGCAGGCAAGTGTTTGGCCAGTAGTGCTGATTTTCAGCTTGGCCGCCGGAAACATAAACACGGCCGGCGAGTGTTTGGCCAGCAGTGCTGATTTTCAGCTTGGCCGCCGGAGACATAAACACGGCCGGCAAGTGTTTGGCCAGCAGTGCTGATTTCCACCTTGGCCGCCGGAAACATAAACACGGCCGGCGAGTGTTTGGCCAGAAGTGCTGATTCTCAGCTTGGCCGCCGTTGTCATAAACATGGCCGACAAGTGTTCTGCCAAAAGTGCTGATTTTCAGTTTCGCCACAGGGACACCCATAATCTAAACGTTCATCGCCTTCACGAAACTTTGGCATAACGACGGGCAGCGAGAGAAGCATCACGAGTGAGTGGTTGGCAGAATATTAGTGCGTGCATCGCGCGAACCCTGTTAGCGCAAGCAAACGATCACCGTTTTATTCCGTTTTTTTTTCGTTAGACTTGAAAGGCTATTGTCTTAACTAGCACTGTCGTGTGATATGTTCATTTGGAACATTATACTAGAAGTGGGAAAATATTGTGCCCGTCGTTGTTCTATGAAAATAAAATACGAAAGCAGCGCCGACGTCATCTTCGCGTTAGCTATACCGCTCTGTCGCCGCGCGGCACTCTTAGCGCGAATGCCACATCCGCGATTTTTCGGTTACTGCTCCACATATTTACATCCCAACTGCACTCGAAGAAAAAAAAGTTGTAGTCGAGTGCATCGGGCGCAGATGCTCCCCTTTCCTGGAAGACGCACCCACCGTTACCCAGCCAGTGTACCTGTATAGCGACCATAAGCCCCCTTCTCTACCTTAAAAACCTATAGGTGTATCAATGCACTCAGCTTAGTAAACCGCCACGCTAGCCATGCACCCCGATCAGCTTGTGCTTGAATCGGATAAGATTGGTTATTTCAGACTTTGTGTTTTGGAAGAGCCTAAACAAGACGTCTCTCATATATTGATTAAACTTAGGCTAGTCTCAGTAATGTTTTAATTAGGTGCTAGGATACTGATTTCCTGAGCCAAGGAAAGCTAACAGCTTCGGTTAAAACCGCAACGGAAACGTTCAAAATGGAGCCACACGTAAAAGAAAAAGAAAATGAACATCTCGACCTAGATGTGCAGAACGTTGGTTTTGTTGTTAACAACGTGATTGTTGGCGGGTGGTGGGCAACGCCGTGACGCTATTGACGCTATCGTGGTGGTTGACGCCAGTGATGCTCGGCCGTACTACACAGTAAAAGTTTTTACACCTTTAAGGGTGTAAAAGGGGTGTCGTAGCAACTTACACCCTCGGCTACACCTTTTTAGCAACCTAAAACTAGGAATACAACCTCATAATTTTACCGAAAAAGGTGCTGTTTCGTGTTACACCCTACATTTAGTGAAGAATGTGAGAAGGGTGTAGAAGAGGGTGCTAAATAAATAATGTGAAATGGTTTTGGAAAGCTTATATATGGCTCTGTACATAATGTACAGGTAAGATTTCTGCTTGAAAAGCAACAGTTGTTACCAGTCTAGTTTCTTATAATGTCAGTTGTAATTCATGCAAATAGCTGATAATTAAGTGCCTCTTTTGCATACAATTTTTATGTTTGCAAACAAAATATTATGTATGAGTTCATATTTAATTTTCTTACAAATCACTCCCTGCTCAGAAATCGGAAAGTAGAGTGAAATGCTCTATACTAGCATTTTTTACAAATATTGATTGATGGTAGTGTACAGTAAGAAAATCAGTTAGTCTCGAGTTTATATCTGGCAACATGAAATCAAAATATTGTGAAAATGTTTGACAAATATTCATGACATGCTGCTAGAACCTGTCTCATGACCATGTCAACCCGAGTAAAATATTCCTTTGAGAATATGGTGACATGCACAAAAACTCACACACATAAAGAGGAAAATCCCATAATAAACCAGTCCGAGACATCCCATAAAAAATGGCCTATGGTCGTCTATGGGAAATTCAATGGGAGGCTATCACCCCCTGTAGCTTCGCATGGTCGGCCTTAAAAATTTATAGATACAGCTACAGCCAGCTATGGAAAAGTTTAGGGCCCTGTGTCTAAAGTCTATGTTTCAATAACAACAACAACAATAATAATAATCATCAATAAGTTAGTGTTTTAACAGTGTCCAGGGACATCCAATTGTTCTTCTTGCGGGCACATTGCAATAGAACGAACAAACAGACGCTTGCGCGCTCGCAGTCGCACACATACACGCGCGCACGCACGTACACACGCATGCACACGCGCAAACCCACGCCCGCGCGCAGACGCACACGCACGCACAACCAGAAACGCACACGCGCATGCACGCGGACGCATCCACACGCGTGCGCACAAACACACGCACGCGCATGCACACACGCACTCGCAAACAATTACGACGGAGGAAACGTTGCTTGAGTTAGTTTCGGTTTCGGTTTACACAAAAAAGAAACAACCTAAAGTTTAAATAAAACCCAAGATTTACTCACTTTTTGTAATGTTTTACATTATTATTTTATTGAAATTCTTATTGTTACTAATATAATTTATTTTGCTTAGTATAGTTCTAATAAAATTAACAATAAATAAAAAAGAAAAGAGACTCTTGAAGACTGCGCAAGACCATCGCTATCGCAATCACCTTCCGTTGGGCTCGTTTGAATGGTCGTTGAATTTCCAGAAGCTTCGGAAATCTCCTTTTTTTACGTTTTAGCCGTTTTAGTGGATATTTTAAATATCTTCCTTACGAATACCGTGTTCAAGAATAACAATCGGTGACTGAGAGCTGGGCGACGCTGCGTCTTGGCAACGCCCGTAAGTTCAGAACCGCCCATGCACGACTCGTGAAACGCCGGTTAGCAACTTTCTTTTGTTTCTGCGAAGTGGGCTGCTGTTTCAAACTTTGTCGTGTACCGTGTGCTTGCTAAGCTATGCTTGATTCTAACTATGCTTCTGCCCTGTGTTATTTCGTTATTTGAACAGAGCGTATCTTCTTCAAAACCTGTGGCTCGCTCCGCAGTGTGAAAAAGATTCCCGCGCGGCGGAACCTTGGGCATGTTCTTTGCGCCGTTGTGCGGCGCTCGTCCGACGACGCTTGTGCGGAGCGTTCAGGTGCCGTCTGACGGCAGTTCAAGCATTCAGTCACCGTCACAAAGTGTTAATCACAGGTCATGCTAGTTCTGACATCTTGTCCTAACAGCCGCTCGCCACCGATTTGTTTCATAAAGCGGGAGCGAGAAAAACGTTAGAAGAGCGAGCATGCAGCATGATCCGAGGGTAAAAGCGCTAAAAACAACGGACAAACAACGCCCTGTGTTTGTTTCTTTTACTTGTCCGTTGTTTTTACAGGTTTCACCCTCGGAAATTAGGTCTCTTCGCGTTTACCGAACCGGCACACTTTTTTAAGTTTACGATTGTGTGATGCAAAAAATGAAAGGAGTTTAGATGTCACGTTTTTTAATAGTGGCGAAAGCCCTTACAAAAATCAGAGCAGCTAGAAAAAACAAAAACATGAAAAAAGGCGGAAAAAATTAAAGGGGCCCTCCGGAGCTTTCTGCGATCGTCTGTTTATGTTGTTATATTGCATAGTAGGTGCAAGTTAATATGTATACAAAGTTTTAGATTACAAAACCGTTTATTAAGCAGATGGCAGAAGAAATATATCAGGAGTATTTTCCCTAGGAAGACGATCCCCCATTCCCTGCCCATCGCTAAAACTTGACCAATAGAAATGCTGCATCTCGCGGTGAATGCGAACGTTATTATTGCAACACTTTTTAAGCTTGTTGTAAATTAGAGTTTGAGAAAAACGTAAACTGATTGTGGTGCGGGAAACATAGTCCGCAATTATCGCTCCAATACCAGCGAACTATGTTTTCTCCCCGCAAGCTTGTTGCTAGTGGACGATGCGTCGGCGCGTCGGCTCGTCTGCTTCCCGGGGCGTCTGCAGGCGTGCGTTTGCGGGAGACATGTTCCTCCTTCCCGTGGATCCCGACTCCGAAGCCAGCTTTGCGATCCTTCCACGTCAACGAGTCAAACTTTTCCTTGTCATCTGTGGAATGCGACTGCGTATTTCAGTAGCAGCGCGACGGTGCGGTGCGACGAACGACGACTGCCGAGCACAAAGTCTGGGTTCCTTGACGACGGTCCGCGCGTGTTCAAGAGATTCCTCCGCGGG